ATAATATATATATATATATATATATATATATATATATATTATAGAGAGAGAGAGATTATGCGTCAATTTGTATATCACCGAGTGGATATATTTGAAGACAACATCAATACGAGTGTAAGGAAAAAAAATTGATATAATTTTATTTACAAAATAAATTTATATAATCTATAATAATCATACACTCAATTTTTCTTTCACGCATTATTTTATCTTCTAAATTTAACTTATATTTAATACATATATTTTTCGTATACTTTTTATCTCTTATGTCTCTCTTTATCCCAAAATGGGATGGACGAATATCACTACTCTATAATCTATTACTGAAATTTATTTGTACGATTGTTATCACCCTAAATATATTATGCAGCAAAAACATATGTAACTCCCAGCTAAAAAACCAAAAACCGATGGTTATATCACATGAAAATGCGAACTTGTCAAACAAGTATTTAGGAAAATAAACAAGTAAATGAATACTGGACTTGTTTTTGAGCGTTAGGTTTTTTGTAAGTCTTGAATTTCTTATACTTATGAAGTACAGAGAATGTGTTCTCATAACAAAGCATGGGGATGTAGCTCAGATGGTAGAGCGCTCGCTTAGCATGCGAGAAGTACGGGGATCGATACCCCGCATCTCCATTTAATATAGTTTTTATTCCTCTACAATTCTCTCTCTCTTTTTTAGATTGTCACAAGTCTTAGCAATTTATTTCAATTAATTTTTAAATAATTACAAGAAGAATATATGGGGATGTAGCTCAGATGGTAGAGCGCTCGCTTAGCATGCGAGAGGTACGGGGATCGATACCCCGCATCTCCATTTTTATGATACACTTTGTATTTTCCCTTCATAACTTTTGGGTTTACCTACTTTATAAATTCCATTTACCAATTTGCACAACCATGTCTTACATAAAAAAATGGACAAATTAGAGAGAATGTGATGCACAATCTAGATTTCCCTTCATAAGAGGTAGGACAGGAATTGAGCTCCATTCCACCTAAATCCTGCAAGATCTTAACCGTTGATTGGTCCTTTTGCACAACAATGAGGAAGAAGAGAAAATATGATACACAATTTATTTTTGTTTAGCAATCATCCTACAATATCTTAGTAATTGAATTCAGTCGCAGATCCTCTCCTATGGTTTCGTCCAGCAATCATATTACAAGATCTCAATTGTTTATTGGTTACTGCATATTAACGATCATAAAAGAGATAATGTAATGCACAATCAAAATTTTAGTTACATATAGGAGTGTGATTTTCGTAATGTTATTTGCAAAACGGATTGCCAAAATGCAATTTATGAAGCTGCTGGAGTTGTTTCGGTATGTCCACAGTGGAGTGGTACGAGATATTTTTCTGTCCTGCTGCCATGTTCCACGGCAGGTTGGGGGAGCCTCCTGTTGGACTTCTTAGATAGAAGATGGAATAATCATCCAAATTGTGTCATGGAATTTGTAATTTGTATTTTGTATTTTCTTTCAATATTGAATCAAAAAATCTTTTCTATTTCAACTAATTTAATAAAAAAAAAAATTCCTTTAACTAACAAATTCACTAAAATTTCTTTATCGCCTCCAATGTCCATGTCGGGGGAGAAAATCCCTTTATAGTTGCCCCTAATATCCTCATCCCATCTATGAATTCAGCTTCTATACTGGCATATTTTAGAAAATAGCTCCATTATTTGAAAGTCAGATAATTAATACCATATTTGATACCGTATATTATTATCTATTTTACATTTTTACTTTTTTGTATACCATGTTTACAAAAAAAAAAAAAAAAAAGGTTTTGATACACTTATTAAAAAAAAAAGGGAATGAGAAGGCATAAAATGAGCTACAAAAAGCTACAGCCCAATAGCATCGTATCGACTGTTCATGGTTGGATTCTATGAGCTAGGCAAGTTGTCAATCCCCACTATAGAAAGTAGTAGAATAAAAGTGTCACGCTTGTATAATACACCAGGTTAGCTATCAGTAGAAATATACATGAATCAACCGTATCACATTTGAATATAACGCAATGAACCAGCCCGCATACTACTGTTTGAACCCCCACTATTTAACCATTCACCACAGAATCATCTTTAAGCCACCCAAAATCATGTTGGAAGATACCAGATTCAGCTTTAAATTGCGGAATAATTGTTCCAACTTTCATACACAGTTGATTCTGCATTCAGAATGCCATCATTTCTTGGTTGACCGGAAACCCCCAAACCCCATCATGGCTGCAACATCAGGATCAATTTCAGGTTCTTCCACTGCCTTCTCCTTCTGAATCCAAAATTGAACACGAGTTACTTACAAAGTAGTGAAAAAATAAAAATATTTATTAAAGTAATATTAGAAAACCATTTTTAGAAAAATGGATGCAATGACTAACAGTTAAAATAAGTTAATAACATCAAAAATTAATTTTACTTGATGGCAGTCTTAAAGTAAAATAAAAATAGACAAGAAACTTGATGTATATATTTTTTTATTAATGGGAAAGACAAAAACAGAAGATGAAAGAAAAACTAACTATCCTTAGGATACAAGGTTCCTATAGCATCCACAAGGACAAAAAGACATAATTGTCTCGAACATTCAAACAAACCAAAAAACTAATCTGAAGAATTAGCTCCTAATTTTGTCAACCAATCAGCGCATTTGTTCCAACCTATTGCCTATTTCAAACTAAAAATAAGCAGTTATACACACTCTTACCTTTTCCTTTTTCTTTTCCCGACGCAGTCGCTTTCTTTCTTCCTCTTCTTGCTGCTGTTTTAAAATCCGCTCATCAAGATCTGTGGAAAAAATGCAAGTTAATTTCCATATTCAAGAACAAAATCCATCTTAAACAGTGGTGTCGACAGACTGCCAAAAAATTTAAAGTTTCACATGAATAGTTAAAAAAATATTTACTCTAAAAAGCAATCAAAAATATTACATGGCCATAATTTTTGTTATGTTTTTTCTTGAGCATACACACGGACATATTCCCCAAAAATTTTAGTTCAAGACCCACCACTGAAATGAAAGATCACTTGAACTTTAACAATTTCAGGCCAAGGAGAAAAAATAATATACAGACTTTAAAGTTTTATGTTTCTATGAAAAACAACAGCCAACCCCTTCTCTTATCCAAGGAAGGCTTTACCTTGCTCCGTGAAGCTTCCAACATCTTTTCGTTTCTTTAGAACTTCAAATCGTTCCTGAACCTGTGCTTCATCAAAAGATTTACAATAGTCATGCAATGACACATATAAAACTAAGGAAACTAAATGACACACAAAGGCACACTCATGCGAGCATGCCAAAGGTAATGGATTTGTTATTTGACTTCATAGCACAATCTTAAGCTTCACCTGTTTGAGAGAAGCACGTTCTACTCGCATAGACATGCCCAAAGCTCTTTGATCTAAGGGACAATATAAGAAAAAAATATGAGCAAGGCAAAGGCAATTAAAACAGCTACACAGAAAAATCAGAGGAAACATAAAAGGACTACATACGTTTCTTTCCATTAATATGATCCAAGTAGTTTGCAGAGTCCTTTACCACACACTCACAAACTGAGCAGTAGTATCCAGCCTGCAGTGTACATAATTGAATTAAAAAATTGTACATGATCTGTGTAAAGAAAGCAAAAACAAAAACTCTGAAATCATTTAATAACTCCTATTCCTTGCACTCCTTGGTGCTTCTATACGCCTGACACACCAACAAGGCTGAAAATTTCCCCAAGGAAGCGGCAGCAAGATGATAATCCCAGGTCTCCAACTCTTCCATCTTATTTCATTTGTCACATAGTTTATAGATAAACTCTCACTACAATCAGGTATTAATAAGCCCAATTGGGTTCTCAAACCTACCTAAAGCCATAATTCAACTGAACCTGGGAACCATATGCAAACTGTGCACCAAAAGGCATTCTCATGGGTCACAGAAAAAAGAGAGCTGATAAAGCTTATGGGTATTGACAATGGCATACATTTCTAACAGTGCTACTATAAAATGCCAGACTTCACTAAGGAGAGTTCGACAATGTCTTGGGTCTCCTGGCAATTAACAACCAGAATTGTGGATATGGTTAATTTTTAGAGACACATGTTAAATCAATCCACAAAATTCATACACAATTAGACATGAATGAAACAGAAATTTTATTAACTGCATCACTCAGGGTTCAAAATGAATCTGGAAAACTTTTGAAATTCATTAAAAGAAGTGCTCCTATGCGTAACCACTAAAGTCTATTACTCATTCTAAACACTTAATCACCCATAACACATCCCCCAGACAAATGAAATTAAGGTCATCAAGAGGAATTTAAAATTTGACAAGTCAAAAAGAGAAAAGAACAATTTATCTAAATCTAAAAGTTCCTGAATACAATAATCAGCAATATCCAGAAATCTAAAACAAATATAAAAAAGTTAAAAAAAGGTACCTGCTGACTAAGTGGTGCAACCGGTGTAACAACCTGCAAAAGATTGCATGTCATCAGTACAGCAGAATCATGTGATAGAATTTCAGTACGAGTAGTTGTGACCCCTCAAAATCTACAACATACACTGCTTACAAATTTCCAAGAACCCAATAGCTGTTTACTATCCATTTAGAACTACTAGAGCATTGAAGTTAGTGTCTACAGTAGCATACCTGAGTCTTCCCCAAGCGGGATTCAAGGTCCACTTCATAATCTCTATGTTTCAAGGGCTTCCTCTGCACGGGAGGACCTTTAGCTGCACCAATAAGATGACATTAGTTGCTACTCAAACTCAAAGCAAACATAACTCCAACCCCATCACAAATTGGGCGACTTACCTTTAGGTTTAGCTCGACCCTCCTCCTCCTGTTCAAAATCAAATTACAAACAAGCTCAATTAACCAACCAAAATTATGCAAAAAAGTAATAATAACAAATAATAATCGGAAGCAGAAATTGGCATCGCAGGAACACCAAAAACGCACCTGTCTCTCGCGCTCCCGAGCACGTTCCAGATACTCCTCCCGATCAAATTTTCTTCTGAATGTGTTGTCAACTCCAACGACCTGGTTCAAGTCAATGATGTTAATAATTAGGAAAGCCATCGACATATCGTGGAGATGAAAGAGAAGTAGATTTCAAGTTCAGAACTTACATTGTTGCTGGTGTTAGCCATGGTGACAAGCAAAAGAATGATAAGAGAACAAATCAAGAAGATGTTACAATGATAGCTGAAGTTGTTTGAATGATGAATGAAACGAAGGACCCATTCACAGGCTGGTATGAAACCCTAGTTTAAATTCAGAGATTAATAAATTAACAAATTAATAACAATATATAAATAAACAAAATTACATTAACAAGTTGGGTGTTTGGTCTAGTGGTATGATTCTCGCTTCGGGTGCGAGAGGTCGCGAGTTCGATTCTCGCAACACCCCTGTTTTTCTTAAAAACTCTAATTATGATTAGATAACGAGTTATTATAATTCTGATACTTAGTATAATAGCTTTATATATTTAACTTTATTAATTGTTTAATTTTCAAAAATTTAATGTATTTTGATATGTTCTTTTTTCATGTCATACATTAGACTCCAGTAATTTAATGTAATTTTATAAATTTAATCTTTTTTTTTATAATTAAAACATGTTAAAGTCTTTTACTGTAATTTTTTTAACAAAAAAAAAATGCCTTTCAAAATTTTCATATTTAAACAAGTTTAAAAACACTTTTATTTAGCAAAGCTTTTTTTTATTTTTTATGATCGTAGTTAAATACGAAATAGCTTATGCTAACATAAAATCTTTATATATATATATATATATATATAACTCACTTTTAAAATATGTTTTTTTTTCAAGCACGAACTAATAGGCCATATTAATAACGTCCTTTTTTTTTCTCATTCAACTTTGAGCAAGGATAATTTATTTGCAAAACCAACTAATTTTGTTTACTGTACCAACTAATGTTATTCAATGAAATATATTATTTTAGTCCTATTATAATGTCAATCAATTTAAAAACATGAACGTAACTCGTGCCAATGCATGTATGTAATACTAGTTTGAAATTACTCAAATTTAAAACAAGTCATTGTCACCATAAGAAACGTTTGAATTAAAATCGAAAGGTTGGTGTTAGATGCATGCAACCTTTTGAATTTATTGTTTTTCAATTTTTTTACATTAAAATATATAACATGGATTTATTGTTTTTCAATTTTAATTTTTTTTATAAAAAAAACAACTCCTATTAACTTCTTCAAGAATTATTTTTTAAAAAACACTTATTTATAAACATTTATTTTTAAGTTTAAATAATCAAGCTCTATATATTTTACCAAGTTTTCACATTGTATTTGTATGATGACACATTAATATATCATATCATTTCAATAATTTACCATTTTATAAAATAAATCTCAAACAAAAAAGTGAATGTATTTAATATCTTGAAAATACAAAATATATTTATTTATTATTTATTTAATAATTTATTTGACATGTAATTATTTATATTTTCATATATTGTGTTTCATATAGAAATTACTCAAAATTATATAAACTCTACGTATGGTTAAAAAAATAGAATCATAGTTTTGTATTTTTAATATATTTTAATTAGCAAAAAGAGTGAGTTAAAATTAAAAAAGGTGTTAATGTTTATTAAAAAAACAGTGTTATTTATTTTATGTTTTTTGACGGTTTGATTTAATGGGTACAAAAATGATTTAACTGCATTTAAGTTGAAGAGAAGAAATACATAAATAAAAAAGAAAAAACAGAGGAAGGAGAGACCAAATCGAACAAGAGAAGAGAAGAGGGGAAAAGTGAGAGATCGACGACAATGTGGAGCTCCACAACCACCACCATGCTCGCCGTAATAGCTCTCACGACGTTTCTCTCACCGGCTTCAGCCGACGACGTCGTTGCGCTCACAGAGGACACCTTCGAAACCCAGGTTGGCAAGGATCGCTTCGCTCTCGTCGAGTTTTACGCTCCCTGGTACGCACGCACTTCCCTTTCATCATTTTCCATCCAAATTAAATGCAAATGCAAATGCAAATGCAAATGCAAATGCAAATGCAAATTATCTTTTCATTGTTAGGTGCGGACACTGTAAAAGGCTTGCCCCTGAGTACGAACAACTCGGAGCCAGTTTTAAGAAAGCCAAGTCCGTTTTGATTGCCAAGGTTCGTCACTGTTAAGTCTTAATCGGATTTAGCTTTTTTGTTGAAAATTGAAAATGTAATTTGTTTTTATTTTTGCACGGAAAGTGTATTTATATTGTGAGGATCTTTGGATAGGTGGATTGTGATGAACATAAAAGCGTTTGCAGTAAATATGGGGTTTCTGGTTACCCTACGATTAAATGGTTTCCTAAGGGATCTCTTGAACCAAAGAAGTGAGCATTTCCTATATAAAAACACATAAATATTATTGTTCTTAACTTGTCGCTATTCATTGCATTGCATCTGATATCCACATCTGAATGAATTGTCTAGGTATGAAGGAGCACGTACTGCAGAAGCCCTTGCTGCGTTTGTGAACTTGGAAGCAGGTATTTATCTTGTAGAGCCTATTCGCATCATGTCAATATTGATTTATATGCTAATTTTGAATTATATTTTTAAGTTGGCAAGGAGATTTAAATGGTATCGATAAACATGCATGCTCTGGAACTATGAAACACGGATACGTATCCAAATTTTAAAAATTATCATGAAAATCTTATCCAATTTCGATAATACTTTCAAATCCTTTAAAAAATATGAAGTATCTATTCCAGCTAAATAATTCATATAAATATATTTAATATTGAAACATTATCCCTTGGAAATTTTCTTTATGGATGATTTAAAGGAAGAAATGAGATTGATAGTATTATTTCTATTTGTAAATAATACAGAGTAATTTATGATGAAATGATTTGTAATTTATTTGTTTTTAGTAATGTATAAGAATTATTTTTTTAATTTAAATTTGCAAAATTGTAATTATATATTTATTATGTTTATAAATTTTGATCAAAATTACAATAACACATTTATTATATTTTATGAATATTAATAGTTTGTTATCCATTCTTTGATCTGCATGGCATGTTGAGAAATGTTAACAATACACTTTCTTGAACACTCTTTATTATTGATTGAAATATATTGAAATCACAAAATGTTGACAACATACTTATTTTTTAGTGAGCCTAACTTATGATTTATAATTTTTAATAACTTTTAACTAGTGGTAGGGTTTATGAGATTGAGTGTAATAAAGAGTGTGTTGTTTGTATTTCTTTGGCATTTTTAGTGTTTCTCAATTCTTGTAACATTTCTTTGCGTAGTATTAAGTTGATTTGGGATTGATATCAAATATATGTTGTTAATGCAGGCACCAATGTGAAGATAGCTTCTGTTCCATCTAGTGTGGTAGTTCTCTCTCCGGATAACTTTAATGAGGTTGTCTTGGATGAAACTAAAGATGTTCTGGTGGAATTCTATGCACCATGGTGAGTGTAGATTAACGATAGATGATATGCCAAAACTTTGTGATATGGTTTTGATTTTTTTCATTTTCAATTTTCAGTTCGAGTATTTTTCTTGATAAATTTAATTATGTCTTCCAGGTGTGGTCATTGCAAGGCCCTTGCCCCTGTAAGGATATTCTTCAATCCTTAGACTTCTACCATAGCTTATGGTTATTGTATCTTAATGATTTTCACCTACCTGTGACTATGTCAAGGTCTATTCTGATAAAGTTTTTACTATTTCTTCAGACTTATGAAAAGGTTGCTGCAGTATTTAAACTGGACGAAGAAGTAGTTCTAGCCAATGTTGATGCTGACAAGTATAAGGATTTGGCTGAGAAGTGAGTAGTGACATATTTTGATTTTTCTATTTAAACTAGGTAGATATCATATTTAAGAAGTTCACGTGCCTAATATGGAAAATTTGTCATTATAGATATGGTGTTAGTGGCTATCCTACACTAAAGTTTTTCCCAAAGAACAATAAAGCTGGTGAAGATTATGGCGGTGGCCGTGATTTGGATGATTTTGTAGCTTTCATCAATGAGAGATGTGGCACCTACCGTGATGGGAAGGGTCAACTTACTTCTAAAGTTAGTTAAACGACATATGTTTACGAATAAAAGAGACCAAAATGATACACTTTATATCTGAATGGCTAAATTATTCTTGCTGTAGGCTGGTATAATATCGTCTCTGGATGGCTTGGTGAAGGAGTTTGTGAGTGCTGATGAGAATGAGAAGAAGGCAGTATATTCCCGGCTTGAGGAAGAAGTTAAGAAGCTTAAAGGTCATGCTGCAAGGTTTGAACAATTTTATGGTTCTGTTATGTTTTGCTCAGGTTTTATTTTGAATTGTGATTATTGTAAAGCGCTAACCGTTTACCCACATGTCTTTCTTTAATGATAAAGATTTATTAGTTTAAATTTCTGAGATATTTCCTTTTTGTTTGTGCCAGATATGGCAACCTCTACTTAAAACTTGCTAAGAAGGGTATGGAAAAGGGTGCAGACTATGCAAAGAATGAAATTCAACGTCTTGACCGTATGCTTGAGAAGGTAATTTATCACGTTTTCATGTTTAATATCATAAATGTATTTGAGAGTTGTGATCAAAATATTATAAGCACGAAACGTGCATATATCATCATGTCAGATTCATTGGGCGTGGTTCCACTTAATGGGATAGGAACTCCCGTGTCCGATGACATAAAAAATGAAGCTACCACCTACAGTTGTGTTAAATTCACTATTTATTTTTTCTATAGAAGAACATGCAAAATCGTTTATTACAGATCAAACATTATGATGATTATGAGTTTCTAGCCATGTCCGTTTGTATGTATCTCTTTAATTCTGTTGAACAGACAATAAATTATATTCTGCATATAGCAACAAAATAATTAACTTTTGTTTGAAATTTCTACAAAATATATAATTTTCAAATAAGATGCTTGGGACCAAAACCGTTCCTTATGAATTATGAATATCAATCAGATTAAAGATCCATAGTTTTGCTTTAAGGAACTTGATATGGTGGAATTCTCTCAAGTGCCGTGCTGGTCTCTTTTAACAGAACTCAATTATTTAAATGCTCATTGCATTTTCAATTTAATATCCTTTCATTGTATGGCGCTACTTGTGATGATGTATGTAAATGATGGCACTGTGCTCGTAATTTTGTTAATTGAAGATTAATTACTCTAGGGTCTGATGGTATGATATGCCTAATATTCTAAGCAATTTCATTTTTAAATTTAATTAGTAATTTGGATTACTCGTCTGAACCATGTTTGATTTTTTCTGTCTTTTGATGCAGTCAATCAGCCCAGCAAAAGCAGATGAATTCACTCTCAAGAAGAACATCTTATCTACCTTTGCTTGATCTTACAGTGATAGAATAGTTATTTCTTTCAATTCCGTGGGGAGATATGATTCGTAATTCCTGAGCTTCTAGGTCTTATCACACCCAAGTTTTCTTGATGATCATTCCATCTAAATATGCAGTCTTACGCTCATTTTTGGACTGTTCATGTACCAAGTCGTAAAATTAAAGCAAATGTAGACTCTTTTTTTTCTTTTTTTCTGAGAAATCATTTTCTAAACCTGTATTGACTTCAGGTTAGTCTTTTCTTTTCCTTTTTCTTTTTTGCCTTTTCTCGTCAATTATCTTGGAGACTGAGTAGCCTTGCTGGCCTACAACTACAATCCCACATAAAAACTCTTTGGTTTACCGTTACATGTAACCCTCTGGGCCCTATAGCTGTACAAATAATTGATAAGGTTTACCTGGAAGAAGACAGGGTTTAAGGGTGTGATAGCACCATAGCCTTTGGAACTAAATCCCAAGCACCCAAGCAAACCCTGTCTGTAATGCACTTGGGCTCTGTTGCCTTGGGCTTCCCATCGGCCTTCTGGTGGTGTTGGGCCTTCCTCTCTTTACTACTTCCCTGGCCCTTGCTTCTCTTTACTCGTGGGCAGAGAAGTCGAAGTCGAAGTCGAAGTCGCAGGATGAGGCGGTTATGGAAGTGCATTGGGCTGCTGTAGAAGAAACCACTGGCATAGGGTGCTATCCATGTCTTCCATTGTCCCCCGAGAGAGAGAGAGAGAGACTATCATTGCTCCCTTCCCGCTCTTCTTTTATATCCTTCAATGCCATTCCTTTCTTTTTTTCTAAAACCATTTTTTTAATACTCGCCCTATAAATTTATTATTTTATATTTTATTTTTAAAATAAAATATTTACTTCATTCATTATTTTTTATCTTCTAAGTGGAGGTTACCGGAGTGTATCTTAATAAATACCTCTCTAAAAATATGAGCATTTTGAATTACCACTTTTAATATAATGTTTTTTTTTTTAAATTACTATAATGAGAACCAAATCAAGTAATACTGATTAAAAATGTTTAATATAGAATCATATAGAAACAAGGCCAAATTATATGTTTATAAAGTGATCAACGGAATAAAATATAAGATTGGGTGCCATAAAATATATATA